GTCATTTCACGTCAAGCGTTAAAAAATATCTTGTTCCAAATATTTGATTGGCACTGGTAGATTGCAGTCCCTCATAAACTATCCTAATAGAATCAACGGTGTGGCCTCCTAGATTATCATCTTTTAATGTTACTTGTTAAATGAAAAAAAACCACACAAAAAACTAGTCATTAGATATTAGGTATAAATGATTATTACATATTTGTCAATAGATATTTGTTAACCCTCACAAAGCGGGTAAATGAAAGCATTGATCTCTCAAACCCCTTTTTGTTCTAAAAACACTGTAGGTCGCAGAGCAACCCACGAGGTTCAGGTGCTAGAGAATGGTGAAGCAGATTTGCACAGACACTGGACCACCTGCCAGAAAAATCCAGGCCACGGACGGTTTATCCCAGTTGGGGACTTCACCATCAATGACTTTCCTCTCACGTACAGGACGCAAGGAAATGTTGGTATAGCGAAGGCCATCTCAGACTTAACGGTCAGAATCGCCGTCACGTACACGAGCACTAAAAGGCCGCAATATCACCCTGGAACATTAGACGATTATCCGTTTTACAACGACGCCGGAAGTAGTGTTCCAAGAACAGGAAGCGGATACGTCAGCCATGTTAAGATATTCGGCGGGAAAAAGTGCCGGTGTGGAAGTTGCGATGGGTCTGAGAATCCCGTGTTGAACTGGGGAGAGATCACGATCTCAACAGCAACGCATGTTGTGTTCAACGAAGAAGAGGCCCAAAAGACAACGTTCAGACTGTTCTTTGATCGACAGGACAGTCCCGTGGTTTGTGTTCAAGGGTTGCGCGTGGAGGAAGCGAATGTGGAGAAGGACATGACGCGGGTGATCTGCGTCACGCACGACGTCGAATTACTGGAAAAACTAGACGGGCTGGTGGAGCACTGGGAAAAACTTTGCCACCGGGCCCACGAGAAGCACAAGGATTCGAGATTTGTGGACAGACTGGCCATCATAGTTTCCCATCCTCACGGATGCTCAAAGCAGGTCTCCGTCGGGGAATGGGGGCACAGAACCAAGGAGGCAGACGGTGACAGCTGGTTTACGTACACCACATGTACATGTCCTGGGAGTAGTGGGGCCTTTGTGTACATTTTAGGGAGCCGATGGTGGTATTGGTATCACGACCATGTACACAGAGGCGTAAATGATGACGGGGTGAATTATAGCACAGTTGGGTATGATGACTTTGAGACGTAGCACTGAAATTTTTCCACCCACCTTACTGAAGCAATTACCTTTACTTGCTTGATAGCGGTAATGCTCACATTTACGACACCCGGTCATGTGAGACTGCATCAAGTGAGACTTCCATAAAGTTAAACAATGTCAAGTGAAACATCACTCAAATGACACTTGCATCAAAGGAAACTCAATCAAGTGACGTCTCCATCAAGTTTAACTCTGTCAAGTGATACTCCTTTCAGTTAAACTCTCCATCATGTTAAACTATGTACTATGTCAAGTGACACCTCATTCAAGTTAAACTATGTCAAGTGACACCTCCATCAAGTTAAACTCAGTCAAGTGACACCTCCAACAAGTTAAACTATGTCAAGTGACGTCTCCATCAAGTTAAACTATGTCAAGTGACGTCTCCATCAAGTTAAACTCGGTCAAGTAATGCTCCCTTCAGTTAAACTCTGTCAATTGTCACCTTCATCAAGTGATAAATCCATAAACACACACACACGGGAATCCCCAAGATCGATACTTTGCATCCATTTGAGCTCAGTGTCTTGCCTACATCGAGTGACAGTTCAATCAAGTGAAACTTCATTAAATACAGCTAAGTCAAGTGAAAGCTGTTTCAATTGAATGCTCGCCCAGACCAAACCTCTTCAACTGACACTCCTTCTTGAAGCATATCTTTTATTTACATTCGTTCATGAAAGATATCATCACGAGCAACCATATTGTGTGACACTTCCTAACACAACACTCCGTCATATGACGCTGCGATGATGTCATAACACATAAGGAGCAGCACATCTCCAGTTCCATATTTAGTAACAAGTGGAAGGTCGCAATCAGATAAGTTGAATACCGTGAATTCCCTATTACCCAACAAACGATCACGAGAGATTCCTTAGATATATTGACCCCAAATTTTCGCGTCAGAAGACCATATGAAATTCTGACAATATAAAATATTTTAAAATTATCATCATATTTATTTTTTACAGTCTGTATGTAATGTACATAATGTAAAAAAAATAATCACTACATAACGCTTGGTGGGCTCGTCCAAGAAAAATATGATCAACCATAAAAATCTTAAGATATTCCAATGTTAACAATTCGATAAAATAGTCTCTTTAAGCATTTAATAAATATATTTGATGTACTTTGTGTGATACCTGTTGTTGCTCACCTCTTCGTGTCAAATTTATTCCAAAAGTCGTCATAAATGGATATAAAAAAAATCACTTTACGACATTCCTTTTTTTCCTCAAAATTATATTTGATAATCTATCTTGATCTGTTTAATTATTTGATATTCCTCTTGCTGACCTCTCAATTATTACATGATAGCTAAGCATTTATTTTATATTTTATAATGTTTTTACTGGGGTTTTTTTTGTTCGATGAAGACGTCTCCTTGCCGGCACGTTCGGTTTTTTTTTTGTTTTTTTTTACGTCCCATTTTTTACAGGTTTACCCTTACTTTGTGACACCCATTTCTTTAAGTATTCCTTTTGTCTTATGAACGTGTCATTAAATCAGAGCTACAAATGGTTCGTGATTCATCACCTGTTATTTTACAAACCTTATTTTGAGATATATAATTTCTAAGCTGATGCATCTCCACATTCTCAGTAAATGTGACACAGCTGATGCATCTCCACATTCTCAGTAAATGTGACACAGCTGATGCATCTCCACATTCTCAGTAAATGTGACACAGCTGATGCATCTCCACATTCTCAGTAAATGTGACACAGCTGATGCATCTCCACATTCTCAGTAAATGTGACACAGCTGATGCATCTCCACATTTTCAGTAAATGTGACACAGCTGATGCATCTCCACATTCTCAGTAAATGTGACTCTTGATGGTGATGATTGATGACTTATATGTGTTGGAAATGACAAAATATTAAAGATTAATTAATTGTGCATTGTTTTACACTCCCTATTGTTCTTTGTGTAGTGACGTCACTTTTTTTTCATGCTGTCTAATCGTTCTCATGCAAATAAAACGTTGAAATAACTTTGGTGGTTGCCTCTGCTTATTTCATTATCTTCTTTGTGAAGTAACTTAGCACGTTGATAGCTTCAACAATATGTGCCATAATTTATAGGCGCCATGGCTTCAAACGAGCTTCTCCAAAGTATCTGGCACCTAGTAGTGTTGTACCATTTAAAATAATTAGGAAAAAAACAATTTTTGTAAATAAAACAATACATAAGCAGCTGTTATGGGGATTTTTACCAAATAGAAAGTAAACGTTTGTTTGCGTCTAATGAATCAACTTTAAAACTTTATCGCAGTCCAAAACTCTTATAACATTTAAGGATTACAAAAAGGTTTATTTTTTCCCCCGATTATTGTCAACTAGCAAAACTCCAGTCTTTCATCAATGGAATCATGAATATACCAAACCACTCTTATAACTTGTCATCTACATACATCTACCCATAACATATCCCCCCACCACAACAACCCCCCCCCCCTTTTTCAAAGGCCTTGTGTCACCACCGAGCCCACAACCTTTTTCAAACACTCACATTAATACAGGAAACTAGCAAAACTCCAGTCTTTCATCAATGGAATCATGAATATACCAAACCACTCTTATAACTTGTCATCTACATACATCTACCCATAACATATCCCCCCACCACAACAACCCCCCCCCCCCTTTTTCAAAGGCCTTGTGTCACCACCGAGCCCACAACCTTTTTCAAACACTCACATTAATACAGGATTATACTTATAGGACCATGTGAGCAACAGCCCCATTGCCTCCAACAGAAATGCTGACATATTCCGATCGTTTAATCTGACACGAATTTTTGCGTTGTGTTCTGAATATCTAAAATTTATTTACGTACCACCTACAGCTAGGTTGTATACAGTGTTTAAGTGTTAAAGCAAGCTATCGAACTGTTCTGATTTGATGGAAATAACTCAGCAAGATATCTGCGAGACGACATCAATCACAATGAGAGCTCACAAACGCAGGCATAATTTACAATGTAAAAGAAGAACCAAAAATATAACAAAAATAGACAAACAAGACAAAAATCATGTGACTGCTCAACGAAAAAAAAAAAGTTTTCTTAACGTACAAAAAAAAAAAATTAAAAAAAAAATTTCCGCTTGACCAATATTTTTTAATTTACGGAAAATGTTGTTTAATCTTCAACAAGCCCCCCCCCCCCCTTTTCCTGTTTTTTTTTTAGCCTTTATATTAATTTCGCTTTTGTTTTTGGCTAGCCAAATTTTGGGACGGCTATCAACTACTTTCCGAGCTGAAGCCTGACTCATAGATGAGTTGCCGTTGACAACACATACTATAAAATGTTCAGCCCCACCCACATCCACCCCCTCCCCCAATCAGTTTTTCCTGCTTTTCAAGAGGAAGATGAAGGAAATATTACGCCACTTATTTCATGAAATAAAATTCCAAATAACTGCGCTGAATGAGATTCTTTTAAATAAAATTATCATAAGTTCGTCTAGTGCTTAATATTTTCTTTGTATGTCTGAAATACTTGCTGAAAGAAATCCTCGATGTAACAGCGGGTGGCATATTAAAGTATTAATATAAAATAAATTCATAATAAAATTCATATAAAGAAATTGATACGAAAAACTTTGTTTTTTGGTGTCATTTATTTTTTTTCCACCAGCCCCACAGAGAAACATCGTGGACATTTGACGTCATCTCTTTTCAACTCCACGCAACCATTAAGTGAAAACTGTCTTTATAAAAAGCAAATTTTCCGCGTCTATTTACTGACATGCACGCCAAACTTCATTTACATCACACATCTGTAAACTAATTTACAACAGTTCATATGATTCTCAGATGTACAAAGTTATTTTTGTTATTCTGTATTTTTACATTTCAGTGTTGTACACACAAAAAAATCTTTTTTTTTTAAATGTTAACTTCTAGTTTGGCAAGGGCATTTGTTGTTAGTCGTCGGGAAGTTATTCGTAACCTCGAGATGAACGATCGCGGCCAGAGCACCCTGGAACCCAGAGTTGTAGTCCGTGGCGACCTCGTTCAGGATGTAGTCCTCCCGGTCGTCGAAGTAGTAATCGGACGCCTCGGGTCCACCAACGATGGCACCGACGAGGGTCTGGGGGCTCGGACCGGAATCCGTGAGCTGCGCGTCGGAGCAGGGCGCGGGTTTGTCCGGGCAAGACGCCGCCCTGTGGTGGGGCTGGGTCGGGTATTTGCTGCCGTAGCCGATTTGGTAGCTGAAGCATCCGCCGGCGTGTCTGTTGTCCCCGAGGATGTAGTTGATCTGTTCAACGCCCCAGGTGCGGTACTTGGACGTGTGGATGCCGGCCTCGGAGGCCAGCAGAGCCAGGAATGCTGCGTTACCTGCGTACCTGGAGGAAATATTTTGAACGAATTAAGATTAAAATCAAACATCTAAAAAAGAATATGATATAATTAGAGATAATATGTTTTCTTGGAACATCATGCTACGTAAGATATTTTGGCTGCGCGATGATTAATTCTAGTACTAAACATTTATTAAAAGAAAAAAAAAGGGGGAAGTGTGACTGAGTTCTAGTTTGTGTAAGGACAAAGAAGTATTTTAACGGAGACTTTTTTCTAAAGGTAAATGATTGTGGACAGTTATAGGAGTTGCGAACCTGTTGGCCCCCCATTTGTCTCTCCAGGCCAGGCCACACGGTGTGTAGGTGATTCCTCCATTGGGCATCCATGACTCCAGGAACCCCACCACGGAATCTCGGTAATTTGCGCTGTGAGACTCCTCGTACATTAGGAGTTGGCAAGCCACTGTCAACGGAGAAAAATTAAAAGGATTATTCAGTTTACTTAAGCAATTTAAGTGTTTCACTGTGATGAGAGGAAGATGAGATGAATTAGTGAGCTTATCTAGGCTATGTATTTGTAATAGAGACGGGAACTGGCAAGCAATAAAATCACGATAAGAAGACGAGTTTAAGACAAAATCAATTTAAACACAAGACATCTCCGAGTCAGTGGTTCTCTAACAGAGTTTTATTATGGTAGTCTTTTTAAACTTAACTTATTTTACGGACTATAAGACGCACCTTAATTTTTAAACAATTAAAAAATTTAAAAAAAATTAAATTTAAAAAACCAGTTCTACCATTTGTATATTAATTTCGAGCATAAGACGCATCTGAATTTAGGAGGAAATTTCTCTAAGAAAAAAGTGCGTCTTATAGTTCGTAAGATAGGGTCGGGTCACTAATTTGATGGTGAAAAGTCCTTTTAAGAGGTGAATAGGTCTGGCAATAAAGCACATCATTTAGCTGGTAAAATAGGGTTCGTTTTATCAAGGGTGGTCTATGAGTTCCGTCAGTTTGTCGAGCCTTAGTCTAGGGACGTAGCTAGTGCTAGTGCCCCAAGGGGTGGGCCATGAAGTCCGCCTCTCCTTCCTCGCAAAAATAATATATGCAGGGAGGCGAAAATGATGCCCCTCAATACATAAAAAATGCCACCCTGGGTGGAACCCACACATCGCACCATCCTTCCTACGCCCGTAACTTATTACTTTTTTGTGTGGATAAAAACATGTTCAGCAAGAAAAATCCCTATTAGGAATTTATCCCAATAATAATAATAATTTAAACGAATAAAAAGAATAATTACATAATGCATTAAATTTATTAATGATTCGATTTAGATTTATTTGTTAGATATTATCTAAAAAATCTAAACTTATTTTGTGTATACAAAACATCTTCTTGTTAGTTTTCAAATCAAAAGTTTTACAATAGATTCACCCGTAAGTATTGAAACAAACGTGTTTGTTTTATACCCCCTCGAATTTACACAACAACAACGAAATGGAACAAACCTTTCTTGTCATCCCAGCTGAACGCCCAGGCCCAGCCGTTATCAACAAACCCTTGGGCGTCACTGAGGTACTGGTTGTTTCTGGTGGCGCGGTACAGCCAGGCGCTGGCGATGCACAGTTCGTCTCTGTCGCCGCTGGACGCGTAGAACGGGACAGCGCCGTGAAACAGTCCTCTGATAACGGCGGGAATAAAACAGTAATGATCTCTTTGTTGTCGTAAGGATTGGATCGATTTTTTGGATATTTTACATTAATTTTTTTAAATATTCATAATATTGAAATATGTCAAATGAGTTATAAAGAAACCAAGAACCCATTTTCTTAGCCCATGCTGAATGAACCACGTTGCAAGGAACGAAAAAATTATTTTAAATATTAAATGAAACACGTTTGTGGTAGACATTTATCAGACGTGCAAATCCTTATTCTTGAACGTTTAAAGCTTTTTTTTATGTTAAAAAAAAAAAAAGATTTGAAAGAAATTTTTCGTGACGATTTTAAATATTGAAATAATTTTATAGACAATTTTTTTTTTTTTTCTTAAAACCACTACAAAAATATATGTAAATTACTTAGTCTAGTTATTTCCTGTAGATAAAATTTTCGATAATTTGTAAATACACTTACCGGTTTGACTTGGCAAAGGAATACAAGCCCTCGGCAGCAGTGAGGAGTCTGGCGCTGTAGACGGTGTCTCCTTTGTCTTTGAAGGCCACGGCTCCAGCAGCGAGTGCTGCAGCAGTCTCAGCGGCAACATCGCTGCCCTGTTGCATAGGAATATGCTTTATTCATTTAGCATTACAGCAATAATTTTTTTTTAAAAATATATATATTTGATATACACTCACACAGTTTCAAATTTATTTAATTTCTTCTCCATCGACGGGTCCAAAAAGGGTTTGTCATTTAATGGTGGAAATCTAAAAAAAGAAAATCCGGCCATTTAGTTTAGCCGATCTCATGAAATGGAGGAAAGATATTAATAAAATATCCGGGTAGACCGTTTGCTCAATCTGTTTACAGCTGTCTTTACAGTGGCTCATCACCTGGACTAAAACTTATTTACAACTTTATTTTATGAAATATTCTATCAACCAACTGTTACTGCCATATATATGCTGAAATACATTGTTAGCAGCCACGCTTTACGAAAAACGTGTCTACAAATAGTAACGTGACGTCATGTGATAAGACGTGATCGGTCGTATAAATGACAAACCCTATTAAATATTGTATACAATAATTATTGAAATAATTTGAATTTAGAGAGCAACCAATTTTTAAATAAATAACTTCTCATCATTTTTAGGGGGTGAACCAAACCGTCTTTGAAAATTTCACTAATATTCTTTCGCAAGTGCTGAATCGTTGTATGCTAGCTAAACACAATTGTTATTTAATTACATTAGTAATTTTATTTTATCGTATAACGCAGCGACAAAATACCTTTTGCAAGTCTCTCAAGACGCAAAGACACATACATTATCATCGCGTCGAAGCTACATAAAAATCAGAAACCACACGATCTTATTTACAAAAAATGTCTTCAAATTTCGTTTAATAGAAATGGGGAAAATAAACTGCCTAACTCATGATGGAAGAAACTATCACAAATTTAGAATTCGTGTGATCGAGGGGTTCGGATAATTGTACACACATCTTGTGAGAGCTGATGAATTGTGCAGTCAGGCAGATACTACGCAGTACGGTATGCACACAGTTTGACAAGGTCTGGCCATGGACATGTCAGCACTGTATACACACCTTGTGTGAAGCACTAACGGTTTGACAAGGTCTGGCCATGTTCATGTGAGCACTGTATACACACCTTGTGGGAAGCACTAACGGTTTGACAAGGTCTGGCCATGTTCATGTCCTCAGGGCGTCCCCAGAACGAGTGGTCAGCATCGGCGTCGCCGACCTGAACGACCAGCTGTTGAGCTTGTGGGTTCCAGGCCCTGAGGAAGTAATCCAGGGGCCACTTCACGGTGTCATACATGGCGTCCAGCTGGTCGGCCTTGACGTAGCCGTCTTTGAACCTTTGTGGAGAAAAGTAGGTCATTGGTACATTTTGTTTTATAGTAGGTCACGTGTTAAGTTTATATTGCAGTAGGTCATTGTTAAGTTTATATTATAGTAGGTCTTTGGTTAAGTTTATATTTTAGTAAGTCTTTCGTTAAGTTAATATTGTAGTAGGTCATTGGTTAAGTTTATATTGTATTAGTTCATTGGTTAATTTCATATTATAGTAGATCATTGTTTAAGTTTATATTGTGGTAGTCATTGGTTAAGTTAATATTGTAATTGTTAAATAACACAAAACTTAAATGAAAAATTACGTACAAATTATCACACCAAAAAAGGTTAAAGGTGCTCTTAAGTTTTCCCACAATTACTCTTAAAATATACTTTCGACTCGTTGAAATATTATTGTTTTTCTCATGTGCTAAAATTGTAAGGTTTATGAATAATATAATAAGCAAGCATTTGGGGTTGCTGATCAGAGCCAATAGAGGGCTTTAGTGGGATATCCGTTGTCATAAATAATTAAGCTTCCTCATGGAATTCGCAGTTCATGTATACATCATCTCAAAATAAGAATGCACACGCGTCAAGAAGATTATCGCCAGCGTTAATCATTTTAAACCCATTCATTCCTGATACTATTTAGAAACTGCATTATGTCAGCTGCGCAGTGTTCTTCCAAGGACTCGTTTACAGTTTCTTATCTCACAGTTTTTCCACAATGAAATAGTATTGTGTTTATTGGGAAGTTCGGTGCCACCTGCTACTTGCACTGCTCACAACATTTTGTAGTTTGTGACCTCCGGGTTGAATATTGCGGTCTTATCAACAGTTCATTAGACTGAGGTGGTTAGTGTCAGATAATTAAATGTAGAATTGTGGAAGGTTTTGATGTTGAATAGCACACCTAAAATATACGATGTAATTAAAGGGGGATTTAAGTCTTGTAAACTCTTGGAAAAATTTCATGTCTATGAATCTGTCTGTCCATCGGTACAAGATACCGGTAAGATGGTTAGGTTACTGAAACATTACAGTTCTATGAACCACTTTAAAAAAAAACAAAAAACATGAGGTATCTTTAGAGTAGTATAGAGTTACATTTTTCAAGGTTTGAGAATATCCGTAGCAGTCTTAGAAGGACCAAGATAACAGATTATTTTTAGACCCGTCCGACATTATGTAGTTACTTCTTGACGTGCACTAATGCAGTAACATAATGCACATTTTTTTAATGTAGATTAGTTATATACTTTATTGAATTGCTTTATAGGACAGTGTAATAAAAGTTATTGCATTTAAATGTAACAATTTACCAATAGTATGTAATAAACACCAGTCGAATTTATCATTAAAAACACGATGAAAATACTGAAATCAGCTTCTAGTTATCTTAAATGTATAAAAAAAAAATGAAAGCCAGTTGTAGATATTTGACGTTAAAGTCAACATGGAGGCTGGGGGCAGGGATAAAATAGTGTGGTAGAGTGGGGGGGGGGGGGCTGGGGAGGGGGGGGGGGGGGGGGGAAAAAGAGGGGGGGGGGGGGGGGGGGGGGGGGCTGGGGGGAGCACGGGCTCTCTTTATTAAAAAACAACAACAACAAAAAACAACTTCAATTCTCTATTAGAATAAAAACATATAAATGACCAAACTTCAACTTCTCCAGCATACTTTTGGCTGTAATGGGGAGACTCGAGCAAACAGTTACCACGTCTGATGTGTGTTTTTTTTTTACCTGAGTAAAGACCAGACCAACACGGTTGTCGTTGACGCCATGGGTAGGCCAAACTTGACGTGGTCGCCGGCGTCGTACCACCCTCCAGGCACGCAGTCGTCAAGGGCGGAATCGCCCCTCCATGGGATGGGGTTATCGGCGGGCAATTTTCCTGATCTGTGTGTGTGTGTGTGGTGTGTGTGTGTGTGTGTGTGTGTGTGTGTGTGTGTGTGTGTGTGTTATAAAAAGAATAATGAAATACTTTTTTTTTTAAAAATAAATAAAAAATAATTAAAAAATAATAAAAAAAACAACGAAAAAACACCTAGCTTTACAATTTGAAGCCAAAGGGATATTCTCTATTCCTGTCTCACAAAACTTTTGATCTAGACTTATCAAAATAGGATAAGGGAGAACAAAACGGAAGGCTAATTCTCTTTCTTTTTTTTCTGTAGTTAAAATTTATTTGGTTATAAAACATCTAGCCCGGACAATGAGTATCTTCGTTTGCTTTAGTTTCTAATTTTTAGCCTCGTCTTTAACAAGAACAAAATTAGTTTGAAATTTAACAAAAAAGAATGCATCTATTTTTAACGCTTGTATAGAATTTATTAGTCAGCATAGACTTTAATATTTTAAAGTAAACATAGACTTTATTATTTTAAAATGTTTCTTGCGGATAACTCGAAAGACACCAAAATTAAACCAAACAAAGAAAAATAATTTTTTTGCTTCAGATTAAGACTAATTAAAAGGACACAAAATGAAAGGATATTAAACACCTTTGATAATTCATTTAAAATGAAATACACGATTATCTAAATGAACTTTTTAACAACTGATCGCATGGAAATGATGGAGTCATTTACAAAGCAGACATTTAAAATTCAATTAAACTCAGAAGCACTTAAAATAACATATCCCATTTCCGATAAACATCGTATAAATATTAAGGGATATTTATAAGTCTAGTGTAGTTTGGTTTTGAGGGCAAAAAAATATATAAATTGAACTTCCTAAATCCATGTTTCCAAAACGTATTTTGACCCACTTCAAAAGCCGTCATTTCTAACATTGCCTCCAGACTCCTTTTGAAATAAAAATAAAGACACCCCGCCCCCTTTTCCCCACACATACTAAAAGTACCCCATTATGAAATAAAAATAGAGACCCCCTAGATACTAAAGGTGCCCACACTCCATAATCCTTAAATTACCCACCCGTGGGGGTACGCTGCCCATTAAAAAATGTCCTACAGAGACACTTTGGCATTTAAAATTTTTTTTTTTAAAGTTGACCACTGTTTTTTATATGAGCTTATATAATGCAATATAGAGTTTGTTATGAGCTTATATAATACAATATGGAGGCCTACACATGTAATATGTTCTTCTTTACCTCTGCGCGTAGTAGAATTGAATCGACTTCGCCAGAGCGGAGGCGTAATCTTTCTTGCCCGTCCCACTCCCGGTATTGGGCGGGGCCGTGGGGGGCCGGGTGGTCGGGTTGGTGACCCCCGGACCGTCCTCCATGCCCTCGATGTACACGGTGGTCTCGGGGACGATGTCCCCCGTGCCGTGGCCCAGGAACGTGAAGCACAGCCGCTCGCCCACGTGGGCGATGGCGTTGTAGTCCTTGTTCTGGAGGACGAACTCCCTGGGGGTGACCTTGGTGGCCGTGGCCGCCCACACCTCGACGCTGTCGACGTCCAGGCTGAACAGGAGATGCGCCTTCCACCCGTTGAGCTCGATGGTGATCGGGATGCACACCTCGCCCTGGAACCCCCCGTTCCAGTGGTTCGTGATCTGCACGGTGACCCCGTGGCAGGCGTGGGCCGCTAGTGCCAACAGCAACAGACGTACGGACATCATGGCCAAGTTTTGGTGGGAACATTTCCCCCTAGTTGGTATTTATAGATAAAAATCGAGCCCAACAAAGAAGAAAAAATGGAAGAAAATACGCTGTTGATCTTTGGTATCGATGCCACTTCTCAGACGATATGTAATCAAATTCACCCATGTTTAATAGGCTTCATGTAATGTAAGACATGTAACAAAATCAACCGAATATCAATACTCCCGTTTCCTAACTCTGGTATAAATAATTATGTTTTTAACACGGAAAAACTGTTACATTTGAAACGTTTTATTCACTCAGTTAAAATCGAATATTGATTGTCGAGGATACGTTTGGCTTTGAACCTTGGACTAAATATACACCAGAGAAAAGATTTGATTGGTGACCTTTCTTGTGAACCCGACGGTCAAGTTCCTGAAGTAGGACCAGGCGTAGGCGGCACATGTTGATACCTGACACAGCCTTACAGCCTGACAAGCATCACAGACTGATAGCCCTTTTTGGACATGAAGAAGTGTTGTGTTCACCAACAACACCAAGGCTGGTGGTGCAGTACATTTATATTAGACGATATTTCCAAGGTTGAACTCAACCTCGTTTCTGACTCGTCTGGTGAAATTTAGGCATGAAATAATTTTAAATAACAAGAAATAAATATTTATTTTCGGCAATCAGAAATAAGTATCTGAAATTATGTTTTTAATTTACAAATTAAAAAAACAAAAAGTTAAAAATAATATATTAAAAAATAGTTCCGTTGGTAGTGAAGTGTGAGACGGCCATCGTTCTTTGTATTGAAATCAGTCGTGCGTTGTCCTAGTGATAGTACAGCTCGCCGTTAGATGGCCCCGAGCTTGACATCAAATCAACACTGAAAGATCGTGTGAACTACACAGCGGCATGAGGGGGCTTGGGTCGTTGGATGGCAGACATGTAGGCCTAGGTCAGCGCAGTCCAACCCCTGGCCCGCGGGCCACATACGAACCGCGAACTGTTTTTAAATGGCCCGCCACAGCTTGAGAAGTTTTTATGATTTTTTTTTTTTTTTAAATTAAAATATTTTCAAACACATTCATCAATTCAGTTTTGTTGTCAAATCGCGTGAGAAGGCAGAAGAAGTTGTAGCATGGAAAATATGAGAGTACAGGAGAAGTAGTAGCTTGGAAAAGATGACAATACATGAAAATGTGTAAAATGGAAAAGATGAGAGTACAGGAGAAGCTGTAACATGGAAAAGATGAGAGTACAGGAGAAGTTGTAAATTGGAAAAGATGAGAGTACAGGAAAAGTTGTAAAATGGAAAAGATGAGAGTACAGGAAAAGTTGTAACATTGAAAAGATGAGAGTACAGGAGAAGTTGTAACTTGGAAAAGATGAGAGTACAGGAGAAGTTGTAAAATGGAAAAGATGAGTTTACAAGAGAATTTATAACATGGAAATATGAGAGCAGAAGAGATGTTGTAACATGGAAAAGATGACAATACAGGAAAAGTTGTAAAATGGAAAAGATGAGAGTACAAGAGAATTGGTAATATGACACTTTATCGTCGGCCAAGAAAAATCCAGCTGTTCCGGTTGGAATGGCCATTTAAACAACTATTCTTATATTATTTTTAATGACATTGGTTGTACGTATTCATTCCCATAATAAGAGACAATTTTTTGAAACAGAAAAACTATAACAATTTTTTTGAAATAGAAGATAATGTGTGAAAATAGAATTATGCATAGTTATCCCCCAAGTTGACAATGAAGTTTTAAAAAAATATAATTTCCACGAAATCGGTTGTGGTACATGAATTCACGTAAATATGAAGGGGAAAGTTTACCGCTTGTGCCAAACTGTCTTTTTGAGCATCCACTTTTCCACATTCTGTGTGTGGACATCCGCGTCATCTGGATAAAAAAAAATAATAATTGTAGTTTCCTTTTCTTCCTGGCATATCGGTTGCTTAGCAGTAATTTAAATGTATTAGTATTGTGCTATATAACTTTATAGCCTCTATACAAGCGGTTCTTAACCTGTGGGTCGCGACCCCTTTGGGGGTCGTGGGACCCTTTTCCAGGGGTCGCCTAAGACCATCTGAAAACATATATCCTTACAGCTATGAAGTAGCAACAAAAATAATTGTGTGGCTGGGGGTCGCCACGACACGAGAAACAGTATTAAGGGGTCGCGGCACTAGAAAGGTTGAGAACCACTGCTCTATACGGAAGCAAAAATATGAACAGACTCCAATGTAAGAATAGTTGTTTAAATAGCCCTTCTAACCGGAACAACTGGATTTTTTCTTGGCCGACGCTCAAGTGGTAGATTACCAGAGAATTTATTAAATGGAAAAGATGATAACATAGGAGAAGTTGTAACATGACGAAGAGAAGGTCACAGGAGAGGTTATAACATGGAGCAGAGGAGGTAACAAAATATAAGGACGGGGGGGGGGGGGGGGTTGGCAGGAGG